CACAAAAGCATGTGTAATGTGGATCAAAGGCAGATGAAGAATCCCGGCAACTACTATACTACAAAGAAAGGTGAATTGAAAATGCCAAGCAACTGCCGTTGCAACCACGGAGCCAACTAAGCTTTGGCTGTGTAGCCATAAAAAAGAAACTAAATTTTTTTTTGGACTGTAAATCTGGAATTCAAACTCTATATGTAATGAAAAAATTTAAAGAAGGTGTCAAAATACCCTTTTAATCTAGTCAGGTCTGTATACCGGCTCCCTTATACAGCCTTCTTAACCTCTCCTCCCTATAGAATAAGATAGATTAGGCTCCCCTTTCCTGTAGAATAGGATAGATTATGTTGTAGGAAAGTTATTGTTCCTATAAAAAAAAAAAAAAAAACTTCCGTTGCAGAAGCATCCAATTCAGTTTGTCAAAGAAGCGTTGCACCAAATTGGATCTAAATTCTTTACTAATTTCTCGTGTTTCAGGAACCAAATTAAATAATTAAACAAGAATACATATAAGGAATGAGAAATTTCTTGTGTTTCAGGTATCAAAGAAATTGATAAGACACATCTTATAAAATTTGGCAAGATTTGCAACAAGGAAACATAAGTTGGGAGAAATTCGAAATAGAAGAGAAAAGGAAACTAAAATTTTTTCTGTAAATAAATTTCTCAATCACCTTTTTAACTCATATACATCAAATTTCTACAGTATATTTTTCTACAAAAATTCCTAAAACAGCAATTTAAACGGGACAAGTTGCGAGGAAAACTATTTAATTGGTGGTGAAATTTTGAATTCTTACATGCAAAGTGATGCGCAAACCAAAAAAGTTGGCAACAATTCTTGAACTCAAATTGGAAAATGTTGCTTTAGGAAAGATTCAGAACATTCCACAAGAAATGGAAACTATATTAGTAATAATTACTTCAAAAGAATTCTTATATACTGACACTTTCTAGATTATGTTGTGAAACAATAATGGAATTAAGGAGAGTTGATATAGAAAAAAAACACTGGAGGAAAGAAGGATTAAGGTTTGTGATAAATAAATGTCAAAAATATGAAATTAGTATGACTCATCCCCATATGAACTTTAATTCTTTAAGTGCAAACTTGATAATGGCAAAATGAAATTCATCTTAAAGTATGTTGAACTCCCAGAAGAGAGATTGAGAGACATCCAGTTTGAGGAGAAACCAGTACATGCGTCCGCAAAAGCTAAAGGAAAAGGTCAAAGAAAATAGTTAGAAAAGTAATAAAAAAGATCCAAAATCAACTAGAAAAAGAAAGTAATAAGAAATAATATAATAAAAAATTAAATTTATAAAGACTATGGGAGTGTTTTTCAAAAACTAGTTTTCAAATACAATAAAAATTTTTAAAAAGTACTCTAAAAGGTAATCTAAAAATTAGTTTAAATTTTTTTAAAAATTTTAAAAAATATTTCAAAATATATTCTAGAAACTCTTCTACTCTTAAATATCCCAAAATATTTTCTGAAAATATCCCAAAACTAGTTTTGTACACATTCGTTGAATGGGAATTGTCTAAAAATAATAAATTATTTAGTGTAGTTCATAAAAATATTTGCATAAAATACAAACTTATTGTATAATCTATTATAACCTTTCTTAAATACATTATTATTCAAAAATAGTCGTATAATGTAAATTTAAACATCTAATTCAGTGATTAATAATTCAAAAAATGCAGAAAAAAATCGACAATATGATGACATTCAAAAACTTGAAAATAGGGAAGATCAAATCTTGGCTGATCTTCTGTAAACAAAATAATGGCCAACCCGTTACCAAAACATCAATTTTGGTACTTAATATAAATGGCTTAAAGGTTAATGTGAAAAGAAAAGAAGCCGAATGAAATATTAATAAAATATAAGAATTCAGAATCAATCAAGTCATAGGAATACAACAACCTTCTAAATCTATTCATGGCTAATAGAAACCCAAACGAAAACATAAGATGTAGTTTGCTATAAAGTCAAAAACATAAAAAATCTAAATAGTCTAATGTATATTGCATGACGTGAACTGCTGTATGACAATGAACTTGATGCCTTGCTATTTATGTAATCAGTGACACCTTCTTATTCTTTAGAAGATTTCTACCAAAGTCTGAAAAAAAAACATTGAAAACTGCACAAAATTTTTTTAACCCCAGAAACCTAGAAAACAAAAAAAAATTAATACATTGTTGAAGACAATTAATAAATTGTCAAAGGCAATTAAAAAATCATGTGAAAACACATAGTTCAAAAGGCCACTTTTAAATCACTAACCAAAAAAGCAATATGTGTTATACTTGAATTGAAGAGTGAATCTATAAATTGAAATAACAAATTAATTACAAAAACTTTGTTAGAAATAAAAACCAAACTGTAACTTTTGAAGATTTAGAAAATTCAAATTCAATGACCTAGCTATGAAGAATGTGTAGGAAATTATAGACCACATACAGCGAAGGGAATAAAAACAAAGTTCCAAATCCGGTCCTTGCATTGAAGTAAAAAAAAAAGAACTTTCCAAAAACATTGTGGAAAAGTGTAAACATGTGCACTGCTTGATAAAGTGATGAGTAATAGATCGATAACCATATATATGAGTAAAAATGTAGAGCATCTTCAATAGCGATAATCTGATAAAGATAATCTAATATTTGAATTGATATTTCGAACTTTTGAGTTGAAGATGAGAGAGAGTTAAAAACATAATTCAAAATTATTTATACTAATTCCCAAGAAATTTAGGCTTGATGATTAGGGTTAAGGAAAAAAAGGGTGAGAGAATGGAAGAGATAATTATGGAAGGATTATCTAGAATTGTAAAGTCAAGAGAAAAAAGAGGGATAGAATAGCGTAGGTTATTAGAGGGTTAACTCATAGAGCGCGTTGCACCTACTTGCTATTTCAATAAGCTACGTAGGAAAGAGATAAACTAAAAGGATAAGGATGAGAATACGACTTTATGTATATATATATATATATATATATATATATGAATCCTATAATATTAAGAATTCTTATAGGAAATAAAAGTGCGTTCTCAAGACAGATTTTACCTACCGTAAAAGACCACCTCAACTATATCGAGTTCTTTAAGTGCATGGACTCCTATGGTGTGGGTCCACACACTAAATACCCCCCACTATCTGAGCAGAGATGTATTGTGAATCCTATAATCTAGCAATGAGTATAACCTGCATGTTTTGATTAACAACGAACGGGTTTATAAGAATTTACAAACCCGTGCTCAAATAGGAATTTATATTTGACCGTACGGGTCAAATACATATAGTTAATTGGATTCAATTAACTTTTTCTTTTCCATAAATTTTGTACTATGCACTATGTCTTGACAACGCACCTAATAATAAAATCTATTAAGAATCCTATTTCCAACATCAGATATTGACTTCTGTTATTAATGGTTCCTTTTGAAATTAGTTACTTTTCTACTTCTTGTAGTGATAACAATTCTTATTTACTTCGGTTCCCTATGCAGTACACAAATTATTGGCATGAATTTGGAGATATATCTAATAGAGATATTTATGTCTCTTTTATTTATATTGCATTACTTTTCAGTTCCTTTTTTGGCTAGGAAATAAGAATCATATAATATTAAGAATTCTTATAGGAAATAAGAATTGATATATATCTAAACAAAAAGGAGCAAGTCACGTAGGAAACTACTTGCCGTCTCGTTAAGCCACGTAGGAAAGAGAAAACATGAAGGGATAAGTATGAGAATACGACTTTATTATATATATATATATATATGATATAATCTAAAAACTCTGCTACAATAAAATTTTTCAAAAACATTTCCAAAAACAGCTAATCCAAACGAAACATATCACATTTTAAGTAGAGGAGTAGAAGGCTAGGGATTTCATACCGATCATGTTATATACTTGAAATGCTAAAGTACAAAAGGTAATTTAAAATCTGAACCGTGATTACTGCGCCAAGAAGCAAAATGCATCGTTGCTAGTGCGGAAACACAGAACATTACTGCTTCCCAGTGTGGTCGGTTTCCAAAACCAAACAAAATTCAGACCAAATTATGTCATAAATTCATTTTCCAAGGATTAACAATGACATGCATGATGCATGTAACCAAAACAGAATCCCACTCTCCCTTTACGACAATGGCGAAGCCAGAAAAAATTCTTAGTGGGGGCAAAAATAATACTAAAATTTTTTACCTATTTTTTTATAATTTTTTAAGCAAAAAAAAAATTCACCAACAAGTACAAATGATGCATATATTCCATGAAAAATATAAAAAGACAAATTCAAAATTATTAATGTAATAATAATTTTATTTCAAAAACAAACTAAACAATTTACAATTACTCATTGCGAGTTTTTATATTTTGATAACTAACTTGGTTGTGGAAGTAAGAATAGCTCTTAGTTGTGGAGGGAAAATGGGGGACCAGTGGAGGGAAGGGAAATTAGGAAATGGGGACAAAGGAAGTGAATGATATGATTGGATGAATTGATTAAGAGAAACAGTAGCTAGCTGCTTGGTTGTGGAAGGTAGTGGCTCTCGGTTGTGGGGGAAAAATGGGGGACCAGAGGAGGGAAGGGAAATTGGGGAGTGGAGTTCAAAAAAATGAATGATATGATTGGTAGTTGCTAGTTGAAATGAAAAAGGCTTTTTTTTCTCTTATTTCAAACGGAATTTGTGCCCTACCCCCACGTATTTTTTTAGAATTTTAGTTTACAAACTAACTTAAAAAATTACGTAATTCTTGATATCCTTTCTAAAAAAACTCTGAAAACATACTTAAAATTATATCAAAATTGTATATGTATTATAGGAATTTAAGGGGGACAGTGGAGCCCGTGCCCCCAATGCCCCACCTTAAATCCGCCCCTGCTTTATGATTTGATCGCGGACAAAAACAATGGTCCACAACCAAAAAATTTGAAGGCCCCAGCATTTAAATTATTTAATCAGAAACCATGATGCCCGAACAACTAACAATAATTGAGAAAGTTACTGTAAACATGCCAATACAAAAGCTTACGATTTGTCAGAGAAGACCTCCACGTCTACGCGGAATAATTGTTAATGCTCCTTTCTTCATAACCAATTATACTAGCCTAGATAAGATTACCAGTTCCTGGCTGCATAAAACCTTCCATCAAAAAAACCATCTTGATCTCAACACTGAATCCAAGGCAGCAAAAATGGCTGACGCTCTTATTAGTTCAACAATTCAGGTCACCTTGGAAATGGCACTGTCTCTTGCCTCTGATAGGATTGGTATGTTAGTTGGATTCGAGGAGGATTTGGCCAGCATGACCCGTTCTCTACGCTTGATCAAAGCTTTCTTGACTGATGCTGAGGAAAGGCAGCATAACCAGGAGACGGCAGTGCAAGAATGGTTGAAGAGTCTCGAGGAGGTTGCTTATGATGCTGACAACGTGTTGGATGAGCTTCACTATGAATCTCTTCGTCACCAGGTGGAGTCCCGAAACCGACACAAGCAAAAGGTATGCTGCTTCTTCTCCTTCTCTAACATTAATCTTGCTTTTCGTTGGAGGATGGCTTCTAAGGTCAGGGACATCAAAGTTAAGTTGAATGGCATCTATCAAGATGCCCATGGATTGGGACTGGTCAGTAGGCCAGTCTTGACAGCTACCCTCCCTGCTGCTCCTGCTGCTGGAGACACAAGAAATCGGCAGACCGACTCAGTTGTTGCTCCAATGGTTGGAAGAGCCGATGATGAATCAAAGATAGTGAAGATGCTGTTGAGCCCGTCTGAGAAGGTTGTTTCTGTTCTTCCCATAATTGGTATGGGAGGTCTAGGCAAAACAACTTTGGCTAAATCGATATACAACAATCAGCAAATTGATGGGCACTTCGACAAAAAGGTTTGGGTTTGTGCATCAAAAAAAGTTCCAATAGAGGAGCTTTTCAAACTCATATTAGTGCATTTGACAAAAGAAAAGGTTGAAGTAGATGTTAGGGAAGTCATCGTTGAAAAAATTCAGAATCAACTTGGGGGAAAAAGATATCTCCTAGTTCTTGATGATGTGTGGGATGATAATCATGCATTGTGGGATGACCTTTTCACCACCTTGAAAGGACTCAATCCAACTGATGGAAGCTGGTGTCTTGTCACTACTCGTAGTGGTCAGGTGGCAGGTATTGTGTCTGGAGCTTTGATGATGGATGATGAAGCCTATGCCTTAGGAAGGCTACCTGATGATCTTTGCTGGTCTATCCTAAAAGAAAAAGTAGTTGGAGGGGGAGAAGTACCTTACGAACTAAAAGCAATTAAAGAGAGAGTAATCAAAAGATGTGATGGTCTACCATTGGCTGCAAGTGTAATCGGAGGTCTATTACGTTTAAAGAGAAAAGAGGAGTGGCAATCAATTTTGGAGAATAGGCTTTTGAGTTTTAGTGGAGATGAAGATCGTGTCATGCAAATACTTAAGTTGAGTTTTGATAATTTGCCATCTCCATACATTAAGAAATGTTTTGCATATTGGTCTATATTTCCTAAGGATAGTGAGATAGAAAGGAATATGCTTATCGAACTTTGGATGGCAGAAGGTTTCCTCCAAGCAGATGTCAACAGCCAAATGATGATGGAGGAAATTGGAATGAATTATCTGAGAATTTTATTGCAGAGTTCATTGTTTGAAGAAATAAGATATGATTGGAAAACATATTATAAGATGCATGATTTGGTGCATGACCTTGCAGAGTCAATGTCAAAGTCTACCAAAGTCATTAATAATGGGGATACATATACAGTAGACAACGATAATCAGATTCGTTACCTTACAATAGACTCATTTGTTGGTGCAGAAGACAGAGAAAAACTTTTGGAGAGTCTATCAGCTTCGCTTCATACATTGTTTGTAAAGGGTGACTTATCTGATGACATGTTAATGAAGTTGAAGAACTTGTATGTTTTGAATTTGTCTCGTGGAGAAATTGAGGAGTTGCCAATCTCAATTGGCAAATTGATGCATTTGCGGTGTGTTGACCTTTCGGAATCTGCAATCCGTATTTTGCCGGATTCCCTTTGCAAGCTTTATAATCTGCAAACATTGACGCTGAGTTACTCAGCGGTTGATGATCTTCCGAAGAGCATGTCCAATTTGATTAGCTTGAGACATCTTCATTATTACAAAAGTGATAAAGAATTTCAAATGCCGCTAGACATGGGACGACTAATTTGCCTTCAAACACTAAAGTTCTTTAATGTGGGTCGAGAGAAGGGTAGACAAGTTAGAGAGCTTGGATGCTTGAAAAACCTCAAGGGCAGTTTGGAGATACGCAATCTTGAACTAGTAAAGGATAAGGAAGGAGCTGAAAAAACATGTCTATCTGAAAAGAAAAATCTATCTAAGTTGCGACTTGAGTGGACCAACAATCGAGAAGGTGACAACCACGACGAAGATGTGTTAGATGGCCTTCGACCCCACCCAAATTTGAAGGAGTTGTCAATTTCGAATTTCATGAGCGATCAATTTCCTCAATGGTTAATGGATTTGCCAACAACACTCCCCAAGTTAGCGAGTTTGGAATTTAATTACTGCAACAGATGCAGAGAACTGCTTCCCCTACAAAACTCTACGTCTCTTAAACAGCTGGAGATTTGGGGTTGCCGTGGGTTGACGAATCTGCCAGGTGACATGCTACACTCTTGTGCCTCTCTCCAAAAGCTTCGGGTGGTTTGTTGCGACAATCTTATCTCCTTTCCGCTTGATTTGCAACAAACGCCTTCTCTCTAGAAGCTGAAATTATTGTGGTGTCGCAAACTGAAAACAAGCATGATGCCCAAAGGATTTGGTTTCCTAACCAGCTTAAGGGAGCTTACAATTGGTCCCTTCTTAGATGATGGTGATGATCATGAAAATTCTTCAATTTACAATGAGTTTGATTGGTCTGGATTGATATCCTCCTCCTCCTCCTCTTCATCATCCGCACTCCGTGAATTATACTTATATGGGTTGCCACACATGGAGTCCCTGCCACCTCAGATCCAATACTTGACCGCTCTCACGTCACTCGCGCTAGGTTACTTTGGAGGTATAAAAGCTCTGCCAGATTGGTTCGGAAACTTCGCTGCTCTTGAAGAACTATATTTATATGATTTCAAAGAGCTTGGACATCTACCCTCTGAGGATGCCATGAGAAGTCTCACCAAACTAAAATGTCTGCACGTTTATGGTTCTCCTGTGTTAAAAGAAAGATGCACTCCTGAGAGCAGCAGCCCCGACTCCCAGTGGTCCAAAGTTACTCATATTCAATAACTAGACATAAGTGGTTAACAGTTCATCTTCAAATCGAATTCAATCATGTAAGACTGCCTCCTGCCTTATAATCAATCTCTTTGTCGTTTTGAGATTTGCCTTCTCTTCACCACCCCATTTTGATTAACCTTCATCACAATTTTCTCTTCTTCCTTTTTCTAGTCCTATTTATTATCTTTCAAAGCTACACCATTAGCATTCCTTAGCAGGTCCAAAATATTGGTGCTTTTCATTACTCCTAACAACATAATACTCTTGTAACCATCAATTAGCATGAAACAAAGCACCTATCCTGCTCCCTGCTTTGATGTATTACTATAACTCTGTTCATATTCTGTTCCATGCTTTGTTTTTGTAGGATTGACCGAACAATAGCTTCATGAAATTATCTGAATTGGCTTGTTAGATTTCTTGCTCTCTACATAATATTTGAGTTCGAATTTTCTGTTTTGCGGTGAACTTAGGCTCAAAGTTTAACTAGAAATCTCCATTGGCTACTAATTACTCGTTGAATTGCATAGCCAGTATCTTGGACAGAAATGTTTATGATGGCACTCTTTTCTTTCATATTGCTGTCTCAGATAGCCAACACCTGATATCCTTATCGTTGGAGCTTGTACACTATCAATCTATCGTTTCAACCACAAGGTCTAGCAGTAAGAATTTACTTGCTATATTAGTACATTACTACAAGTTTGCTCTTTTTTTCCTGGCTTCTTGTCCTTGAAACTAGTTGTTACTTAATCGCAGAAAGTTTTCGGTCTGTGTTCTGATTGCTCAATGACTGTCAGCTAGCCTATATGAGCTGCTCGGAAAAAATTTCTTGCCCCCACTTATCGGATGCTTTTGAAGAGCCATCATTGCTAGGAGTTTCTGATGATCCTTATTTACAGTTTGATGATTGTAGACACCAAAAATTTCATCGATTCAGTTTTAGCTTTATTCATTCAATTTTGACTTCCTTTGATTCAATTTTTAGTTTTATTATTATTATTTATTCTTGTCTCATATTTATTATTTTTAATTGATTGGAGGTTGCAAATGGTAATTGATGTTCATTCTTATTTTAAATGCATTAAAATTCATCATTTTCTTTTTAAAGCAATTTTACACTAAATTTTAGGAAAATCCCGAATAAAGATCCATTTTATCTTTTTAAAATTTGATTTTTTCTTGCTAAGGCATTTTGCAAGGTAATTTTTAAAAATTAAGCATGTTAAACAAGTGTGTCAATTGCATGTTGAACAAGTGTGCAAATAAGCATTAGACAAGTGGTTGAGGAATGGTAGGACAAGTGTATAGGGGGTAGCTGTCAAGGACACTTGGGGGGTTTTTTGGGGGGCATCGGAAAAAAAGGAAGAAAAAACCCTCGAAGAGGCTTGAAAACAGGGGGAAGAGAAAAGAGCTAAAAATAGAGGGGCCAAGCAGCGGGCAAGGGGAAAAAACAGAGGCTAGACAAAACAAGGGGAAGCTGGGGGCTAAGAATCTGAGGAAAAAAGGGAAAAAACACGGAGAAAAGGCCGAGGAGGGTGGCGGCTAAAAGGGAGAGCAAAAAGCAAAAAGGCTTGAGAGCTGAGAGGGCAGGGGCGGCGGAATTGCCGAGCAGGGGCAAAAGAACAAAAACAGAAAAATTTCGTCCGAGAGCAAAAGAAAGGAAAGCAGGAAAAAAGAGGAACCGGGCGGCGGGCTGAGCATAAATGGAAGAAACAATCAACGAAAAACAGCAAAAGGGAAAATAGGGGAGGTTTTGGCCAAAAAGAACAGAGCGACATGAAGAATAGAGGAAAAGTCCCCGGCCGCGAACGGAAGCAGAGGAAGAAAGCTTCAGCAAAAATAAAGGGCAAATTCGAAAAGCTTGTAGCTGCTGCCGTTCACTGGAATCACCATTGCTCGCCACCGCATCAGCGGAATTCACCGCTGCCGCTCGTGAATCTTTACCGTGAGAAACGATGTAAGCTATTCTTTCCCTTTTACATTTCAGTTTTTTTTTTCTTCAAGAATGAATTTCAGAAGCATGGCTGCCGTGGGTCTGTCATCATGATTTTTTTTTTCTGTTGAGGGTCGGTAATTTTGTTCGCATATGTTTTCTGCATGTGTTGGACTGAATTCCTTGCTTTTCTGATAATTTTGGGGCCGGTTGTAATGTAATTTAAGCAGAAATCTGTTGAGTTTTTTCATGCCCATTTGCTGTTTGCTAAAATGCCCGAATGAACCTTCTACTTGAAGATGATTTCGTTTGCTTTACGTACGAAGAAAATGGAACATTCGGATGGTTTTTGCTTGTCCGAACATAATGAACGATTCTCCATGATAGAAGCTGTGTTGGTTCGTTGTTTTTTTTTTCTGTTTTTTTATCTCTATGCTTGAATCCGAATCGATGTTGAGAGGGAGTATTGTTGTGAGTTTCATTGTTTGCTGGAATGATTGGAATCGAAACCAAATTTCTGGTTTTGCTAATCGAAAGGAAAGCTGAAATGCTTAACTGGTATCAGCAATGAAGAGGAAAGCCTCTGCGAAACATGAGTGAAGAAATGTCTAAAATTGCAATTTAATCCCTCATTTTCTGTCTCATTTCATTACGGCCCAAAATCTGGAAAAATCAAACTAATTTTGCCCTTTTAAGCTTATTCCTCTGTTTGCATATTTTATGTGATTTGTTGGATAGATTAATTCTGGGATTTGGATTATAATTATGGCCTAATAATTTTAGTTGATTTGCTAATCTTGTTAGGTTTGATATTATGATTTGGGTTGTGGGTAATAATAATTTGTTTGGATTTATGAAAGTGGGTTTAGTTTATTTTGTTTGGATTTTTGGCTTGGGCTTAAGGGGGGCTAAAGCCCACTCTTTTGTTGGGTTTGTTTTATTGATAAGTAGAGGCCAGCCCAGATGTAGCCTCTGGGCTTTGTGGCAGGCTAAGGAGTCTTGGCCCAAACAAATAGAGAGAAGGGCCCAATGGCCTGTTAAGTCCAGTAGCCCAATGACGAAATTTCATTCCAGTCCCCTGACTTTTGGATATTTTTACTGTGGCCCTAGACATTTCCATTCCTTTCAATTGAGTCCCTGGTTTAATTGCAAATAGGCCCTTGAACTTTATTTTTCTTTAATTTTGGCCCCAAAATTTTTTTCAATCTTTGCAATCAAGTCCTCTCTTCTCTTGACTTCTTAAATGTGGTTTGTTGACATGATTTAATTGATTCAAATTCATGTTTATTTTTATCCTTTGTGATTATTTGCCAAATAAATTGGTGTCTTGACCATTTCTTTTATTTTGGAGGATAAATAAGTGATTTCACTTCAGTGGGGCCCAATTACAAGGGAGGTAACCTATATCTCCTTGATTTTTATTTCTCCTATGTGATCCAACGTGCTAAGTGTGAATTGCATGTCTACGTTGCTTTCCTTGCCATTCCTTTAACTCCTTTCATTTATTTCATTTATTTCATTTACTTTTGCTTTTTATTTAAATTATTCTTTATGGGGTATGTGTACACCTCTTGGCTTGTAATAGTTAGGGATTCAATTATTTTATTCCCTTTCCCCCTTTTAGATTGTAGTAGGGTCCCCCTAATGTAATAGATAAGGCTTGGAGGAGCATTCAATGAAGACCTATCGAAGACTTGTGCCTAGCTAGCAAATGTAATAGTTAGGGCTTTAATTGTCTCATGTGCCTTGCATGCTTAGTTGCTACGTGTTAATTTGCTTTGCTAGGGCCTTGCATCTAGTCGAGCATGCAAAATGTTATGTGCTATGTGTTTATAAGTGTTTGGCATGTCTACTCGCTTTCCATAGCCTGAATAAATGTGATGGATGAATGTACGTCACCACACTAGTCCAATGCTAGTTGTGGTTCATTATTTCATTAGGAATTCATGGAAAGGGCTAGTCCAACGCTAGACCCAATAGGATTTTTCCTTTGTTTTTCATTAATGCATTATTTGCCTGTTCACTACATATCATGCATTTTTCCTTAGTTTTATCATCTGGCATGCTCCTCGATTCCCCTTTCCCCTCATTTTAGGATTTTTGCATTTCATGCTAGTTATAGGGTTCATTTGCCTGAAGAGTCCCCTTCTGATAAGGGAAACGAGCGAGTGTGGCTACTCGATAGCCTTAGCACGCTAGTTTCGCCTTCTAATCAAAGGGAAGATTAAGTCACAAAGTTAGGACTCCCCGTTCCCGTCTTGATGCATTCCTATAGGATTCATGCATTCTATTCATTCACTATCACATACACTTACTTTATATTCTAACCCTTTTTCCACATTCTCACTTCACACTACTTTTACACGTTTTCATTTAACTACTCACACTCTATGCCATATCACTCGCACACATGCACTTTATATTATTTTCACATTATCATTCTTTACTCACCTTACCTTGTAAATACATTTGCACACCTCCACTTTTCTCACTTCACATAAACTTACATTTTCACATGACATGCACCCCATTCATTTTTACGTCATTTAGGATTACGTGTGACCTCTCCAAAGGATCATTATTGGGCTTCACAATTAATGTGATTGGCACCACTCAACCTTTGAAGAGAAATTTCCCCCAATACCCCTAGGTCTAGGGTTTTGCATTCATATAGACATATCCAACACGCGATACATACCTTGGGTAGAAAAATTAGGAAAAATTGGTTTAAGTCACGCAACTAGCCTTGGCTAGGTCGAAGGGGTGCCTTGGATTTTTTATCCTTGCCTTCCCCTTCGTCAAATGTGACCCCCGATCCCTCTTTTTGGTTACGTAGACCCAAAAGTTCTTTAAAAGGGTTTATTTACTTTTTTTATTCAAAAACAAAAAACCATTTTTTGGGTGACTTGGTACACCCTAACCCTATACCAAGTGGCGACTCCATTTTTGATACAAAAAACCCTTTTTGAACTTTATATGGCCAAACCGTCGCATTATCAAGTCCCATGGCCTTTTACTTTTCATTTACACACGTTCACATTCCATTACACCACTCACATCTCACACCACACACACACCACAACTCATCATCTTCGAAAAGTGGGGCGCGACAGTTGGCGACTCCACTGGGGACTTCCTAAGTGGGTCCGAGCATTTGATTTAGCCGTTCTTTTCCTTTTTTCTACCTTTTTTATGTATAGCATGTGGATATTAGGGTTGCATTTTCCCTTTTTAGGACCCTTTTCCTCACGCGCGTATCAAACTATTCCCTCACTCACGTACGTGTGATTGGTTGATTGGATGTATGTTTACTTGTTTATCTCGCGCTTGCATTGCATTTGGGAGGGGGTGTGTCACCTTTAGAGCCTCTCGTGGTTCTCAACCCCTTCCCTCAAAATAGGAAAACACTTCATACGTGCACGTTTACTTGCTTTTATCCCATTTTATTTTATTTTTCGTGGGCGTTTCCCACACCGCCTTGTAGGATTAGGATCGATTGCCTTGGGTAGGCGCCTTGGGTAGGCGGCTGGTGTGCTCTGCGCCCATAGCGCTACCTAAGGGATCACTCGAGCCACCGATCAAAGGCCCTGGGAGTGATGACCCTTCGCCTTTAGGTCTGAAGGCTTGGGAGCCGAAACCTTATCGAGTCTAGATGCATTAGTGAACCCCAGCCTCATGCATCCATGTTAGAATTTTCCTAGGTTAGAGTCAGCCTCACCCTATTTTAAACACATTAGGCACGAGGGAAGGGGTTCCACCCCTCTTACTTGCTTTATTGTATTTCTTTTTCTTAATTGCTCCCAATATGTTATGTGTATTACCAATTGCACTAACCATTCTTTTGTTTTCTTGGCTTGCATTCATATGCCCTAGCAATAAGAGGCCCTTTTGGCACTCTTTTAGTGACCTATCCACTAGATAACTCACATGTTTAAATTTCAGTCATTATACTTAATAAATACATTTCATTTTAGACCTTTTTTCCCCCGATGCATTATTTATGTCCCTTAGGTCATATTTGTCACATATTTACATCGCTTTAATAAATGACATCATGCATAAACCCTAGAAAGGGAATGCCATTTAGGGGATCCCGTGTCAGGAATAAGCCACCTTGTGTCTCGGATACTTAATCCAGTGAGACTTGCACGTTTACATTTTGTACCATCCAAAGGGGGTAGTGCACAAGGTAAGGTAGGATCCGATCATTTTCATAGAGTGATCTTTGGAATATGAGCATCTAATAATCACTTTTTGGCCATTTTATCAAAAATTGGTAAAAATTCCTTGCGTGAAGGACAGTAATTTGAAGAAATTCACAAATGATTCCTTCTATTGAGACGATAAATAAATTGAGGCCAAAATTTGATTTTTAGAAGCTCATAGACTAATGCATCTCAATCATTTTGAAATCACCAATGGCCGGACAATTCAACCTGTAGACACCAAATTTTTGGTGTAATTTCATTTACTGTTTATTTTTAGTTTTTATTTGTCATGCTAGTTTTATTCGATTTTTAGTTTTTAGTTTATAGTTTTATTTTTATTTTTAAGTTTTTAGCATAGAAATTCTTGAAATGAAAAAAAGAAAAAAAGGGAAAATTTGTTCACAAAATATGTTTATTCAATCTTTGGGCACTTTAGTTATTTTTATTAAGTTATTTTGAGAAAAAGAAAATGAATGAAAATGAAAAGAAAGAAAATGTAGAAAATTTGAAAAATGGACATTTTGTCGTTTTTATTTAGTTTGTTTTTTTTATTATTTATTTATTTGTTTTCGTTCTTATTATTATTGCATGGTTCTGTCATTTTGTTATTATTATTATTATCATTTATATGCATTCTTTTTATAAAAAAAAAAAAAAAGAGATTACCGCAGCGTGCACGCTGCATTTTTTTTTTTTTGCAGCGTGCGAGGCACAACCTCAATGCCCATCGGATGGCTAAGATAAGGGGCTGAGAGGAGGTTGATTGCTGGCCATTGAGAGCAGGTTTAGGGGATTGGGAGATGGTACAAAAAGGAAAGAAGACATCAGCCGCAAGGAGAGCTTCATCGTGGGGAGAGTTTTGCAGCTAACGGGAGCGGAAAGAAAAAACGGGAGCAAAACTGGACAGAGGGGAGAGCAATGGGAGAGCTGAGGCTTCGGTGGGCTAAGGAAAGAAACCAGAAAAACGGAGAGGAGGAGCTTTGAGAGGAAAAAGAAAAGAAAGGGCAAGGTGGCGGCTGAAGCAAATAGATGTAGAAAGAAAGAGATTGACGGCGTGGGTTCTGGAAGAAGGAAGAAGGAAAGCAGAGAGAGGAAGAGCTTGGGGAAGGAACCGTGATAAGCAAGGAGGAAATGAGCAATGGACGGAGGAGAAGAAGGCTACGAACAAAATTGGAACAGAAGTGATAAAGCTGCAATTTTTCTGACCAAAGGCCGGCTATGAGCCATGTTCCGGATCAGATTTCTCTTTGATCTCTGGTTCTTTTAAGTAACTCTCAGTTTCTGCACTAACTAGGAAGTAAGGGGAGGAGGTTTCGTTCAGAATTTGTTGGCAGAAAACATCGAATGATCCTTTGAATTCGCCCCCAAAGATCGCTGCTTAATTTTGCTGGTGCGGTTTCGGAGCCGAACGGGACAGCTTCGGCCGCTCTTTCATGACGTTTCCTGTCCAGATTTTGATCCAAAAACGTTTGGGCAAGTACTCTCCTAGATTGGTGTCTTAGTCCCTTTCCTTTTTGTTCTTTGTTGAATCGTCATTTTGATTTTTCTTTCTGTTTATTGTTGCTGTCTACGCTTTCAAATCGGAATTCATTTCTGGTTCCTCCATGTTAGCTTAATTTGCCGATCCTTTTGTTAGGATAATTTCTTAAAGATAAAATCCAGAAATCTGGTTGTTGTTTCTGTGCTATTCGTTGGGTTCCTCGTTTGGTTTTTAATGGTTTGGTTTTGCAACTGGTTTGCGTTCATCAAAATGTTCAGCTTGTTAAAGGTTTCGAGTGATGGGTCTGCTGGTTTTGGTTCGAAGTTTGACATGAATTTTTCTGCTTCCAAATTACAGAATGTTGTTCTTCGATACTTATACAGTTTTTGTTCAATTTATTGTGCTTAAACATAAGGATTTTATGGTCCAAAAGTGCATATGCTTGGCTATGAAATCTGGTTTTGGAGGGTAAAACTAGAAAGGTTGCATTAGTTTAGTTCATCAAATGCTTGCATAATTGCCTGGATTTTTTTTGCGTGGGATGTTGCTAAGATTTCTGTTTGCTAGGATGATGTTAATGATGTAGTATATTGCCTAGTTTGAAGCTGTGAACCTGGAAAATTGCGTTGAGCTTGGCAAAGGGCCGCAAGCTTTGTTTTTTTTTTTATTGCAGAAACTTTTGTTTTTCAAGCATGCTGTCCAGAATTTCGCATGATGTTGCTTTTTCTAAGAGTTTGCTTGTTTGAATCGTGGAGGCTGTGTAGTTTTTTGCTTGCTTAATCTAAAGTGGTGATGTTGGGTTGAAAATATCTAATCAAAGCTGGGATTAGAAATCAGAGGTTGAAAGAAAATGCAGCAAGTCTCATTGCTGAAATCATATGTCGAAAAATGCAGAATTTCTCTTGCTGTTTGTATATTCAAATGTTTAGCTTTGTTTTCTTGCTAGAAATTGCGGTTTGATGTTGGATTGGGATGTTGGGCTGTGTTCGGATGAAGATTACATTTTTGTTTCATTTAAGACAATGAATTGAAACGCAAGCTACGGCTAGAATAGTGCAAAAGGCTTTAGAAATGGCTGAAACTTTGTTGCAGAATATAAGCTACGTTCTTTGCATGAAGATTGCATGAAATAATTTTCTAAAATTGCATTTTGACCCCTTGGCTTCTAACTAATGCTACTTTGACCCAACTAATTGAATAATGTCTTCAACTTGGTCCTTGGTAGTTTTAACTTTTGCAATTTCATTGTTTGTTCGATTCCAATTAGCCACCTTGCTTTGCTTAAATTGCACTTAAGTTATGACTTTAGGGACTTTATGACTAGGTGAGCCTTGTTTTGCCCATTTCTTTTAATTTTTCTTAAATAAAGTGGTGCCATGACCTTTTTATTATTTTGGAGGGTAATTGAATAATTTCACTTCATTTGGACTCCATTCCAAGGGAGGTACACTCTATCCCTCATTTGCACTTCATTTGATCCTATGTGACCTTATGTGTTATGTGAATATGCCTGTCTACTTCGCTTTCCTTACCTCCTTGCGTGCATTTACTTGCCTTACTTTTATTTAAGTTTTATGGGGTATGTGTACACCTCTTGGCTTGTAATAGATAGTGCTCGGAGAGCATCTGGTCCACTTCCCCTTCCCCTTTATGCTTTTATGGGGTATGTGTACACCTCTTGGCTTGTAATAGATAGGGCTCGGAGAGCATCTGGTCCACTTCCCCTTCCCCTTGCTTGCTTGTTTTTGTTGCTACATGTTTAATTGCTTTATTAGGCTCTTGCATCTAGTCGAGCATGCTAAATGCTATGTGCTATGTGTTTACGAGTATTTTGGCATGTCTACTTGCTTTCATAGCCATGAATGAATGGAATGGATGAATGTACGTTTCCGCTAGTCCAACGCTAGTCGGAATTCATAGAATGGGCTAGTCCAACGCTAGTCGGAATTCATAGAATGGGCTAGTCCAACGCTAGACCCTTAGGGATTTCCCCTCATTAGCATATCATTTGCTTGTTCACCACATATCATGCATTTTTCTTAGTTTTATCACTTGGCATGCTCCTCGAACCCCCTTTCCCTTCATTTTAGGATTTTTGCATATCATGATAGTTGTAGGGTCCATTTGCTTGAAGGTCCCCTTCTGATAAGGGAAACGAGCGAGTGTGGCTACTCGATAGCCTTAGCACGCTAGTTTTACCTTCTAATCAAAGGGAAAATCGAAGTCGACAAGTTAGGAGTCATTCCCATACCCGACCTGATGCATTCCCTTAGGTTCATTCATTCTCATTTATCACTCACTCATTCTTTTCAATTCACATTTTCCTTTCCTTGTTGTTCATTTTGATTTCTACTTCACAAAATTGCATTTAATTACACCTATATGCACTTATCACTATATTTCATACACTTGCACACAAACACTTGGAATTTTCATACAATTGCACACGTGCACCTTTTCATACACTTGCACACAAACACTTGGAATTTTCATACAATTGCACACGTGCACCTTTTCATACACTTGCACACAAACACTTGGATTTTTAATTTCTTTCATACACTTCCACACTTGCACATTTGAGTCTCATTTGCATTAATCGACCTCTATGGGGGTTTTCCTTTGTTGGCCGCCACAATTCATGTGGTTTGGGACCAAAAGCCTCACGAAAGACATCGTAGAATTTAGGATTGCATTTTCCTTTCCGTTTTGCATTCATATAGTCATATCCAACGTGCGAACATACATTGGGTAGAAAAATTAGGAAAATTGGTTTAAGTCACGCAACTAGCCTTGGCTAGGTCGAAGGGGTGCCTTGGATTTTTATCCTTGCCTTCCCCTTCGTCAAATGTGACCCCCGATCCCTCTTTTGGTTACGCAGACCCAAAAGTTCTCAAAAAGGGTTTATTTACTTTTTTTTATTCAAAAACAAAAATCATTTTTGGGTGACTTGGTACACCCTAACTCTATACCAAGTGGCGACTCCATTTTTTGATACCAAAACCCTTTTGAACTTCACTTGGCCAAATCGTCGCATTCTAAGTCCCATGGCCTTTTACTTTTCATTCCGCACACGTTCACATGTATATCACACACACTCACACACCATCACACATTCACACTTATTTTTCAAAAAGTGGGGCGCGACACAACCAATCCATTTTACCCATTCATTCAATAAATCATCAATTCATTTGATCAATTTACCCTTTTTAGGGTCATCCGGTCGATTTTGAATAAATCGTCAATTCATTTGACCAATTTACCCTTTTTAGGGTCACCTGGTCGATTTTCAATAAATCATCAATTCATTTGATCAATTTACCCTTTTTAGGGTCACCTGGTCGATTTTGAATAAATCGTCAATTCATTTGACCAATTTACCCTTTTTAGGGTCATCCGGTCGATTTTGAATAAATCATCAATTCATTTGACCGATTTACCCTTTTTAGGGTCGTTCGGCCGATTTTTGAACAAGTCACTAATTCAATTTCATTCATTTGGCCAATTTACCTTTTTTTAGGGCAACCGAGCCGTTTTTGACCTGTTTCCCTTCTAGGGTAATCCGGTCGATTTTCAATAAATTGTCAATTTCATTTGACCAATTAGGATTTCAATGTCGAATTCCAAATTGGGAAATCTAGTCAATTTTGAAGAAAACCGTCCATTGCATCCAATCACTTGATCAATTAGGGTTTTTGACCCGTAATTCACTGAGAAATTTTATCAACGAATTCCAATCTCTTCGATAGGAGTTCGTCAAGGTCAAACCCATGCGTTTTGCAAATCAAAGGTGATCAATCTATTCGGACGTTGTCCTCATTTTGACAAATCTCTTGCCACTCCAATGGCCAAATTTTTCAAATTATTTTTCACTCAATGAGTTGATCAGATCCGTCAGGTATGGTATAGTGCTTCCCTAGAGGATTGCATTTTCATGCTAGGCTTACCCTTGGCATAAAAAGGGTTCCCCCATAGGACATGCATACCGATTTTTTTTATTCTTACTTACTGACTCTGGGTATTTTTCTTTTTGTTTTCCCCTCCCCCTGCATTTATAAAAATGTTTCAATAAGGCGAGAATATTCTTCTATATCTGATAATTTTGATCCAATAAAGCTTGAAGATTACAAGTATTACTTGATTTTTAGGTAGACATTGCCGCGAAAGCATAAAGGGGAAATTCTATTTATTTGATTTGTTAATACATTTTGTTCCAAAAGAAAAGGAGACAAAAAGTGTATGTGTTGAGCTCTTTACGAGTTTCTCTCTTCTCATTTGTATCATATTTGATTGAGCAATTTTGTTTCAAACTTTTTCAACAATAAAATTTTTTGGATAATTTTTGTTTTGTGTATATTTATGTACATTTCATTCTTTATTCTTACTCATTGGAGATTTCATGATGATTTTTGAGAAATAAGACCCAATTTGAGATTTTTCAACCTATAGCCTGAATTTCACAAGTGTATGCTTCCTAAAATCCTTACACTCGATTGGTGTTCCAACCTGTACAATAAGAGTGCTCAGAAAGAAAGAGAGTGAACGGTCACTCAAAAGGCCCTATGAGATACCTTTCTCCTTCACTTAATTCCAAAATAAAATCAGTCACATTGATTGATAAATTGTAAATTGGGGCAACTTTTGCTTGAAAATGTTCAAGGCGTCTAATCTGGTTCAATCACATCTAAGTGAAAGCAAAAATGTGCATTATTCTTATTTGTTTGGAAAATTTGGAATGATACTTCAAGCATTCGTTTCATTACCTGTACAGATTTTTATCATTTGCTCTCCCATTTGAGCTTCTAAAAGAATAATTTCGTTTCAAATAAGGGTCTTAATGATCACTACCCGTCATTGAAAAATTTTCAAATATCAAAAGAAGAATGGGTTTTCAATGACCATTTCGCTACTTCGGTTGTCATGAGGTATAAGAATGATACTTTGGCCGTCAGTTCTACAATCTAAACACTGATCATCCCTTGCATCCTCGTTTGAGCTAAATTGGTGGTTCTTTTCGAGTGCACATATGATCGCACCCCACATTGGGGAAGGAGATTGGGAAATTTTGAAAAAAGGGAAAAGAAAAGGGGAAAAGCAAAAAATGCTAGAATAAGGAGGGAACCGCAAATTTGGGGAATTTGATTTCACTTGGGTTCCAATTTTGAAAAAAAAAAAGAAAAGAAAAAGAAGAAAACAAGTTCTATCCGGTGGATCACTTATGTTTCATAGACATGAATGAGCAAGGGTCTTCCTCAGTCAGTTAATTCGGATACATGCCAAAAATTTCCCATTAATGAAAATTTCTTTTCAGAGTTAATGTAAGGAACGGAATACAAGTCAGGCCATCTTCTTTTCCGATCAAGCATCTATCCCTAGTTATCCCTTTTGAGCCTTCAGAATGAAATACTTCGTTTGGCAACCCCTGAGAATCGCAAACCCCACACTGGGGCAAGTTTGAGTTGAAAGGAAAAAATTTCAAGAAGTGAAAAGGTAAAGTCACAAAATCAAAAAGCAAAAGAAGAAAAGAGAACCTCAGTTTAAAAATAAACTGGGGCAAATTTTGTGAAAGTTCAAAGATGGCAGAATGCCGAAAAATCAAAAGAAGAAAGAAAATGAAAGAGAAAAAGCCCCAATTGAACACAAGCTCTGGCAAATTCTGATTTAACCCTAAAAATGGGGCTGGAGCAACAATGCGATCTCAGATTTTTCAAACCACTTTTGAAATCCGCTTTCAAGCCTTAACTTTTCTAAGCACCCCACCTGACCCCATTACAAAAGCCGAAAGTCCTGACTTCTGTTCTTTGCAATGGCCCTGGCAAGAAAATTTCTGATGCCGGAAAATTTCAGCTGTATTTCTGAATTGCCTGGGTATGGGGTTGACGCTACTTACCAGGTGAAAATCCACCAAGTTGAGGGAAAGGAAAAAGAGGCAAAAAGCGAAGCAAGAAAAGTAAATGCAAGAAAATACAGAAAAATTCGACGCTGAAGTCCCTGGTAAATGATGAGAAAAATGCAAACAAAGTCTGAGATCTTTTGAGTTCAAAATAGGGGCAATTTTGGAAAAATGTGATCTTCGGTGCAATGTCCTTGAAAGTTTTATTCTTTAGCTATCGTTTTTCAAGCCAAATTACAAGCTAAGAAAGTCCATCGTTGACTTATTCCTTCATGACAATCCAAAGTGAGGATCATGCTCATAAGAAATTCATCAAATCATTTGTGATCATAAGGGTATAACCCGTTTCCACATGTTTAGCTATCACTTCTGTCCATACGTTACAAGCCTAGAAAGCTGGTATGTTGACTAAGTTTTCTTGAAAAATAAGGGTGACAAACTCTTTGCTTTCACTAAGATGTGACATTGAATGGATTACATACAATTGGGGCACAAAAATGAGACAGATTCTGACCTCTCATTTTCCTTCAGCCACTTCCAAATCAAAAATAAAGTCACTTGATTGGTCCTGAAAAATGAGCCAACCAGAAGTGGTGACCCGTTACCCTAAACACCAATGCTAAAAGTGAGGAAGAAATCTTCTTGAATTTGGTGTTACTTCGAGGAATTCATCATGAAATTTCTGCATGAGTTTCAAACTTGACGTTTAAAGTTTCTTCACATTGTTGTATATGTGCACTCTTTTCTAAATTTTAGAAAGTGCGGTTTTTCTTTGTTCAAATCAATGGGAAATCATCTGAACAAATTTTTGCAATTAAGGGAGCCCACACTGGGGCAAAAATTTTATTTGTGAGATTTCATGAAATAAGCCCATACTGGGGCAAATTTTTTGTAATACATTTGAGATTTGTGTCCAAAAATCAAATAATAACATTTTTCGAAACAATCCCGCTGCTCTTTTCCTGGAATTTAAGTGCATGTCATACTTTGATGAACCCCTTGTACAGGTATTCATGATTCAAAATGACGAAAGGCATCCAGTAAGGCGGAAGGCCGATACTGCAAAGAGAAGCAAGAAGAAGGAGGAAAAATGGACACTACACTTGGGGCAAATTATTTTTTTAAAATTTTTGAAAAAAGGGAAAAAAGAAGGAAAAAAGAAAAAAAGAGAAAAAACCAAAAATCAAATCAAAAAGTCAAAAATCAAGTTCAAATTCTTGTTTCTTGAAAAATCAAATTTGATTTCTTGTGGGCGAAGCTCCAATGCACGCCGCGCATCATTCTGTTCCCCCCTTCTCTTGACATTCCAAATCAAGTTGGGCCTGGACTTGGTGCCGCCAACATTCCAAAGATCAAGTTGGGCCTGGATTTCGTGCCGCCAACATCACTTTATCACGTTGGGCCTGAACTTGGTGCCGCCAACATCACTTTATCACGTTGGGCCTGGACTTGGTGCCGCCAACTTCACTTTATCACGTTGGGCCTGGACTTGGTGCCGCCAACATCACTTTATCACGTTGGGCCTGGACTTGGTGCCGCCAACATCACTTTATCACGTTGGGCCTGGCTTGGTTTTCGTGCCACCAACTTCGCTTTGTCACGTTGGGCTTGGATTTAGTGCCACCAACATTACAAAAGTCACATTGGGACCGGGTTTTATCCCGCCAATCTCGGCAGGACCGGGTCTAATCCCGCTGACCGCTTATCTCGGCAGGACCGGGTCTAATCCCGCTGACCGCTTACTTCGGCAGGACCGGGTCTAATCCCGCTGACCGCTTACTTCGGCAGGACCGGGTCTAATCCCGCTGACCGCTCACCTCGGCAGGACCGGGTCTAATCCCGCTGACCGCTCACCTCGGCAGGACCGGGTCTAATCCCGCTGACCGCTCACCTCTGCAGGACCGGGTTTTATCCCGCTGACCGTCCACACCCCGTCGGTCTCAGATGTTATCCCACCGACCAATTCATCACACTGGGGCAAATTTTTTAGATAATTTTTCAAACAAGTCCTATACAGTTCTCTATTTAATTTTCTGTTCGGGTCTATCCCATGGGTCTGTCCCATCTACATTTTTATCCGAGTCTATCGCATTTACATTCCTGTCCGGGTCTATCCCGTTTACAATTCTGTTCAGGCCAGTCCCATGTTTGAAATTCCTTGTTTAGGTCAGCCCTCCGAATAGGGGCAACCGAATGGTACAGGTAAGCATTTGGTGTCTACTTCTTTGTCTCAAGTTTTTTCAAAACTCAGACAAAGAGGGGCAAACTGTAGACACCAAAAATTTCATCGATTCAGTTTTAGCTTTATTCATTCAATTTTGACTTCCTTTGATTCAATTTTTAGTTTTATTATTATTATTTATTCTTGTCTCATATTTATTATTTTTAATTGATTGGAGGTTGCAAATGGTAATTGATGTTCATTCTTATTTTAAATGCATTAAAATTCATCATTTTCTTTTTAAAGCAATTTTACACTAAATTTTAGGAAAATCCCGAATAAAGATCCATTTTATCTTTTTAAAATTTGATTTTTTCTTGCTAAGGCATTTTGCAAGGTAATTTTTAAAAATTAAGCATGTTAAACAAGTGTGTCAATTGCATGTTGAACAAGTGTGCAAATAAGCATTAGACAAGTGGTTGAGGAATGGTAGGACAAGTGTATAGGGGGTAGCTGTCAAGGACACTTGGGGGGTTTTTTGGGGGGCATCGGAAAAAAAGGAAGAAAAAACCCTCGAAGAGGCTTGAAAACAGGGGGAAGAGAAAAGAGCTAAAAATAGAGGGGCCAAGCAGCGGGCAAGGGGAAAAAACAGAGGCTAGACAAAACAAGGGGAAGCTGGGGGCTAAGAATCTGAGGAAAAAAGGGAAAAAACACGGAGAAAAGGCCGAGGAGGGTGGCGGCTAAAAGGGAGAGCAAAAAGCAAAAAGGCTTGAGAGCTGAGAGGGCAGGGGCGGCGGAATTGCCGAGCAGGGGCAAAAGAACAAAAACAGAAAAATTTCGTCCGAGAGCAAAAGAAAGGAAAGCAGGAAAAAAGAGGAACCGGGCGGCGGGCTGAGCATAAATGGAAGAAACAATCAACGAAAAACAGCAAAAGGGAAAATAGGGGAGGTTTTGGCCAAAAAGAACAGAGCGACATGAAGAATAGAGGAAAAGTCCCCGGCCGCGAACGGAAGCAGAGGAAGAAAGCTTCAGCAAAAATAAAGGGCAAATTCGAAAAGCTTGTAGCTGCTGCCGTTCACTGGAATCACCATTGCTCGCCACCGCATCAGCGGAATTCACCGCTGCCGCTCGTGAATCTTCACCGTGAGAAACGATGTAAGCTATTCTTTCCCTTTTACATTTCAGTTTTTTTTTCTTCAAGAATGAATTTCAGAAGCATGGCTGCCGTGGGTCTGTCATCATGATTTTTTTTTTCTGTTGAGGGTCGGTAATTTTGTTCGCATATGTTTTCTGCGTGTGTTGGACTGAATTCCTTGCTTTTCTGATAATTTTGGGGCCGGTTGTAATGTAATTTAAGCAGAAATCTGTTGAGTTTTTTCATGCCCATTTGCTGTTTGCTAAAATGCCCGAATGAACCTTCTACTTGAAGATGATTTCGTTTGCTTTACGTACGAAGAAAATGGAACATTCGGATGGTTTTTGCTTGTCCGAACATAATGAACGATTCTCCATGATAGAAGCTGTGTTGGTTCGTTGTTTTTTTTTTCTGTTTTTTTATCTCTATGCTTGAATCCGAATCGATGTTGAGAGGGAGTATTGTTGTGAGTTTCATTGTTTGCTGGAATGATTGGAATCGAAACCAAATTTCTGGTTTTGCTAATCGAAAGGAAAGCTGAAATGCTTAACTGGTATCAGCAATGAAGAGGAAAGCCTCTGCGAAACATGAGTGAAGAAATGTCTAAAATTGCAATTTAATCCCTCATTTTCTGTCTCATTTCATTACGGCCCAAAATCTGGAAAAATCAAACTAATTTTGCCCTTTTAAGCTTATTCCTCTGTTTGCATATTTTATGTGATTTGTTGGATAGATTAATTCTGGGATTTGGATTATAATTATGGCCTAATAATTTTAGTTGATTTGCTAATCTTGTTAGGTTTGATATTATGATTTGGGTTGTGGGTAATAATAATTTGTTTGGATTTATGAAAGTGGGTTTAGTTTATTTTGTTTGGATTTTTGGCTTGGGCTTAAGGGGGGCTAAAGCCCACTCTTTTGTTGGGTTTGTTTTATTGATAAGTAGAGGCCAGCCCAGATGTAGCCTCTGGGCTTTGTGGCAGGCTAAGGAGTCTTGGCCCAAACAAATAGAGAGAAGGGCCCAATGGCCTGTTAAGTCCAGTAGCCCAATGACGAAATTTCATTCCAGTCCCCTGACTTTTGGATATTTTTACTGTGGCCCTAGACATTTCCATTCCTTTCAATTGAGTCCCTGGTTTAATTGCAAATAGGCCCTTGAACTTTATTTTTCTTTAATTTTGGCCCCAAAATTTTTTTCAATCTTTGCAATCAAGTCCTCTCTTCTCTTGACTTCTTAAATGTGGTTTGTTGACATGATTTAATTGATTCAAATTCATGTTTATTTTTATCCTTTGTGATTATTTGCCAAATAAATTGGTGCCTTGACCATTTCTTTTATTTTGGAGGATAAATAAGTGATTTCACTTCAGTGGGGCCCAATTACAAGGGAGGTAACCTATATCTCCTTGATTTTTATTTCTCCTATGTGATCCAACGTGCTAAGTGTGAATTGCATGTCTACGTTGCTTTCCTTGCCATTCCTTTAACTCCTTTCATTTATTTCATTTATTTCATTTACTTTTGCTTTTTATTTAAATTATTCTTTATGGGGTATGTGTACACCTCTTGGCTTGTAATAGTTAGGGATTCAATTATTTTATTCCCTTTCCCCCTTTTAGATTGTAGTAGGGTCCCCCTAATGTAATAGATAAGGCTTGGAGGAGCATTCAATGAAGACCTATCGAAGACTTGTGCCTAGCTAGCAAATGTAATAGTTAGGGCTTTAATTGTCTCATGTGCCTTGCATGCTTAGTTGCTACGTGTTAATTTGCTTTGCTAGGGCCTTGCATCTAGTCGAGCATGCAAAATGTTATGTGCTATGTGTTTATAAGTGTTTGGCATGTCTACTCGCTTTCCATAGCCTGAATAAATGTGATGGATGAATGTACGTCACCACACTAGTCCAATGCTAGTTGTGGTTCATTATTTCATTAGGAATTCATGGAAAGGGCTAGTCCAACGCTAGACCCAATAGGATTTTTCCTTTGTTTTTCATTAATGCATTATTTGCCTGTTCACTACATATCATGCATTTTTCCTTAGTTTTATCATCTGGCATGCTCCTCGATTCCCCTTTCCCCTCATTTTAGGATTTTTGCATTTCATGCTAGTTATAGGGTTCATTTGCCTGAAGAGTCCCCTTCTGATAAGGGAAACGAGCGAGTGTGGCTACTCGATAGCCTTAGCACGCTAGTTTCGCCTTCTAATCAAAGGGAAGATTAAGTCACAAAGTTAGGACTCCCCGTTCCCGTCTTGATGCATTCCTATAGGATTCATGCATTCTATTCATTCACTATCACATACACTTACTTTATATTCTAACCCTTTTTCCACATTCTCACTTCACACTACTTTTACACGTTTTCATTTAACTACTCACACTCTATGCCATATCACTCGCACACATGCACTTTATATTATTTTCACATTATCATTCTTTACTCACCTTACCTTGTAAATACATTTGCACACCTCCACTTTTCTCACTTCACATAAACTTACATTTTCACATGACATGCACCCCATTCATTTTTACGTCATTTAGGATTACGTGTGACCTCTCCAAAGGATCATTATTGGGCTTCACAATTAATGTGATTGGCACCACTCAACCTTTGAAGAGAAATTTCCCCCAATACCCCTAGGTCTAGGGTTTTGCATTCATATAGACATATCCAACACGCGATACATACCTTGGGTAGAAAAATTAGGAAAAATTGGTTTAAGTCACGCAACTAGCCTTGGCTAGGTCGAAGGGGTGCCTTGGATTTTTTATCCTTGCCTTCCCCTTCGTCAAATGTGACCCCCGATCCCTCTTTTTGGTTACGTAGACCCAAAAGTTCTTTAAAAGGGTTTATTTACTTTTTTTATTCAAAAACAAAAAACCATTTTTTGGGTGACTTGGTACACCCTAACCCTATACCAAGTGGCGACTCCATTTTTGATACAAAAAACCCTTTTTGAACTTTATATGGCCAAACCGTCGCATTATCAAGTCCCATGGCCTTTTACTTTTCATTTACACACGTTCACATTCCATTACACCACTCACATCTCACACCACACACACACCACAACTCATCATCTTCGAAAAGTGGGGCGCGACAATGATCATTACTAGAGAGCCAGATTGACCATTAGAGTTTTTGCTAACTTTCAAGGATTGTCCGCAAGTTAGCATATCTAAGCCGGATAATTATATGTATATAGGATCAAGTCTTATTACCTGCTCATCATCTTTAGGGTAAAAGCAACAAAAAAAAAAAAACTTACTTTTGTAAGATTCCCAGCTCAAGAAAATGTAATAGAACTTCCTTTTTCATAATTATAATGCAGGAACAACCTTTCTTGAGATTTTAAATCTACGGCTTTCATCAAACTCAAGTATACACACCACCATTTACTGTGAAAAATTTATTTACTTTTAAATTTGCTTGTAAAAAAGAAAAGATAATGCATTATATTCATGGAGTAAAGCCTCAAATGAAAGTATGTCCAAGCACAAAAAATTGTGAACTAGCAACCGCAGACAAAGATTTTAGACTTTTTAATTTATAGCTTCTTTTGTTTCTGTAGGAGAACGTACTCCAATGAAACTCGTATGATGATTTCTATTTATTACCTTATGTGAGATGGTAACTAAAATGATTTAAGTTACAAAAATTTGAAAGTTTATGAGGATCTGCTTCCAGGGATGTTGTCTAGCAATACAATAGCAGGAATTTGAGAGGATTCCATTGTGCACCTTCAATTTGATCACAGGTCGCAATTAGAGATCTAAAGTGTTGATTGTACTTTAGTTTGTTGAAGGTAGAAGTCTGCTTTGCTGAAATTTCCTTGTCTTAGAGAGTCTGAAATGTTTAACTGCTGTTAGCAAAGAAAACACTACCACTTACTATAATGTCACAGCACACACTCAATACACAGACACATACCTCATAGAATACGGATCACGGCTCACAGTTGGCACTTCTAGCTCCTCCCTGAGAAACTCAGTTCATCTTCCAATCAATTCTTTTTGGTATAATTTTGGCTTTTTTAAGAGCCACTTCCAGATGTAAAGAGTATATTTGATGAGCATTTTGATATTTTGGTTCTAGCACATGGTCCATTTCACTTCTAACTCAATTATAGATTGCAGATATTTAAGAACAGATTATTTGGTGTGGACAGCCAAGCATAATATGATAGCTTAAGAATATTTGCACTGAGTTTCCCGCCTTTGCTATCTTTCAATAAAAAATAGCAGTTTTATCTGCTCACCACATATGTCTGCCACTGTGATTTGTACATTGATTCCGAAAGTTGAGATTCTATGGGACAAAATGGTTGCTCTGAACTTTCACCTCTTGAAAATGCACCTGTCATTTTATCATCTTGCTGTAAACCATCTGAGATTTGATCTTCTCTACAACATCTCTTAGAGATGGGATTCAACTCAACTTTCCCTAGTTATGATCTCTCAACATGAGGACACTTGTCAATCGACAAATTCTCTCTGCCCCTTGATTGTTGAATTGGTGTTGGCAAAGGGACTGGTAATCCATGATACCACTTTTTTTCCCTTAAAATTATCCTAACTTATGATTCAACATTTCTTCAACTATGTAATATTGAAGTTTAAGCAGTTTGATTCTCAATTTTTTAACTAAAACCAACAAAAAAAGGACATATTCAAGTCATTTTTTGAGATTGCCAAGGAAAATAGTGCTGCTCCTGCAATGAAGCTCCAGAGACTTGGCAGATTATCATTTGTTGAAAACTTAATTTTAACTGTGATGATTTAAATTTTCGTGCATCAAATAGTATAATTCGCAACTCTTGGAATTTGCCTTCATGAAGATTCTTGAGCTGTCTCTGCCTGTCATGCTTGCTAGCTGCCCCTTCTCTTTTCATTTTTTTGGAGTTTTGGACACGAACTAGAACAATTTTCAAGACGCTACTTGGTTTCTATAGTGTGAGGAGAAAGATTTCATATCTGCTTGCCAAATTTAGGTTTTAAAACAAAGATAAAAGCTTTTTTTAAGCTTTCTGTAAGATCTGTTGAACAGAAATGTCATGCAATTATCTGAAATTTCTTGTTAGCTTTATGATCTTCTATACACTGTCCAGAGTTTGAGTTTTCTGCAATGGCCTAATTACTTCCGTACCTGTCAATATCCTGTTATTCCTTCTTCATCATTTTCAAACTGAAGACATATGTATAGAATGCACTCTCTTTTGCTTCTAAGTGACTGAGATGGCCAAAGTCTGAGATCTACATTGTGAATGTGGTGCCTTCAAACTGTTGGTCATGATTTGAGGTAGCAATTCACTGATTATGAACCTCAATTGCTTTTCTGTCTCAGACTGCTTGCCTCTCAAATTAGCCGCAATTAGTTGCAGAAAATTGTCAGTCTATCTTGTGACTACTTATCGTCTGTTAGTTGGCCTCCACAAGCTGATCACCACCCTTCTTGAAGTTGTAACTTAGGTCCATTACATATAACATGATTTTGTGAGTTTGCCTGTTCTCTTTTTGCAGTTAAACATAGTACGTCTAGAATGATGCTGTTACTTTATGATTCATAGTTATTCCTTAAGAGAACCAGACACTAGCCGCTACACTAATCCCACAGTTGATACCCATCTCAAAATTACTCGGTCTATATGATGTTGAGTAAATATTACTTATGTTAGTAGTCTCTTAAATCTTAAACAAAAAATGAAAAAAAAGCATGATGTTGTTCTTTTCAATTTTGTTTGGTGTCTTTCTTATGCTTTTGTGTCATAATTGAGAGTCATATGTCCTAAATAACATTACCATCAATAGGAAACGGTTCCATGTCTTCATTGGACGATTTAGTTAATATATTGTTTCAGCAGTTAATAACCAAATGCACAAGATTTTCTGGGTTATCAATGCAAGTTTGGCATAAAACAGAAGTCAAGCAATTCAACTAATAAGGTAACAATGTGGAAGAAATTAAGAATTGACTTTACTTTGTTTGTCATGTATATCAGCTAATCTGTCGTACGTTATGATTGCACCTATTCATTCAAATTGCACTTTTCAGATTAGTTTACATATCATGTGCAGTAAATTTGTGAACCCTCTTCCACTCCTTAGACCCGCAATTCTGGCCACACCAAATTAACAAGTCTGTACGTTTGTGGTTCTTCTCTATCTATTATCTATCTATCTATCTATCTATCTATCTATCTATTATTATTATTACTATATAAAAAGCATGATGAACCTTTAGTGTGAGTGTAAGTAAAAATTGGTCTTAGTTTTTGTGATACCAATATTACCCTTGACACCCATAAGTGGACAAATTACATTGCATTTCCTTAATAATTAATAAGAATTATGCTAACCGTTACAAAGAAATATTTTTTGAATTGTGATAATTCTGGTTATTACTATATAAAAAGCATGATGAACCTTTAGTGTGAGTGTAAGTAAAAATTGGTCTTAGTTTTTGTGATACCAATATTACCCTTGACACCAATAAGTGGACAAATTACATTGCATTTCCTTAATAATTAATAAGAATTATGCTAACCGTTACAAAGAAACATTTTTTGAATTGTGATAATTCTGGTTAATTAAACCAAAAAAGAAACAACCAATTCATTGCATTTCATCAATAATTAATATCTGTTATGCTAACAATTACAAGAATGAACAACATTCCCTTGAGTTATAGAGAATTAAATCAAAAAATGAAGAATAAATTTTATTTATAAATTATAATAAAATATGGTGAATCTTAGTGGTTAATAGTGTAAGCGAAAAATGATATTAGTTTTTGTGATGCCAAAATTACACTCCTCTCTAATAAATGAACAAATTGCGTTGCATTTCATCATTAATAAATAATATCAAACATGCAAGCAGTTACAAAAATGAAAGATTCCTTACTTTTTTTTTATTTATCAAAAGAAAGAAGAATAAATTTATTTACAAAATCCAAGTTTAGAGAGTATTTCAAATATGGAACAAAACATAACAAATTGGTACTATGAGTCTCCTAAAAAGTATTGCAAGCCTTTTCATTTTTAGGATATAAGTAAATTAAGCTTTAAGAGCACCTTTTTAATATATGTATATTGGTACTGAGTTAAAAAACATTAATCCAATATATAGTAGCAAATGGAGTACCAAGGTAGGCAAAGAGTTTAATGTTGGGAATTTATTTATTTAAATTGTAATAAAGATTAAATTTAATGAATTTTATCAGTCATATTCCTGTAACAACTAACAGTATTAAACTATAATTTATGAATATTATATTCATCAACGCCAATTATAATAATAATTACAAAGGTGAAACATCCCTTTGAATTATGGTGAATTAAGCCAAAAAAACTTTTTTTATAAATATCAATTTCAAGGAGTACTTCAAAGATGAATAAAAATATATCCAAGTCCAGTTTGACTATAATATAATAAATAATTTTAATGTCTTACAATTTTTAATCATATAAACACTATAATCATAAAGCATGTCATCAATAAGAAATGCAAATAAGTTTCACTAAATCAAAACATTTCTCTTCAAAGTTAAGCTATTTAAATTCGAACAATGGAATTTCAATATGTTTAGATACTATTATAATTACAATAGTACAATTGATCATTTTACAATCCACAGCTAGCAAAAAAGTAGCAATAATTAGAAAGTCTCACTAAAACTAATAAACATTTCATAGACTGATTTAAAGGGGAGCAACAAATTATTAAAAAAAATTAAACACAAATGGCATAAAAATGAACATTTAGGTCATCTATATTTAACCAAAATACAAAAAATATTGATATTGTTACAAAATAAAAGTGCTTTTGGAACAATGAATGGTTTATTGCTTGTACATTTGTATTGGTTAGGGCACACTAAGTTCCAAATAATATAAATATTAAATATTACATTTGTTTGTCTCAATTACATTTATTCCTTCAAAATAATTAATTTTCTAGAAATTTTAAAGCAAAAAAACTCTAAAAGCATCATGTTCACGTGCAAAGCACATGCTCCATTACTAGTTAAAGGAAAGGTGCACTCCTCAAAGCAGCGGCCCCAACTCCAAGTGGTCCAAGGTTTCACATATTCAAAACCTATGCATATCTGGTTAATAGTTCATCATCAAATCAAATCTCAATCTCAATCTCAATCTCAAGTGCTTCTTGATCTCAATCATGTAAGAATGCCTCTTACCGCGCCTTATAACCAATCTCTTTGTCATTTTGAGATATGCCTTTTCTTCACCACTCCCTCTGATTAACCTTCTCCTGGGAAAAATAGAAAAGAGAGAAAAAGTTCTGTGTCATTGTTCTTCACAATTTTCTGTTTTCCCTTTTTCTCGTCCTAGCATCATCTAGCAAAGCTACGGTATTAGCATTTCTTATCCAGTTGAAAACATTGGTGCTTTTTAAGTTCTCCCTTTGACAACTTAATACTCTGTAACCATCAATTAGCATGAAAACAAGCAACTGTTCCAATTCCATGCTTTACAGCAAGTAATGGCCCAATAAATTGAATGTCTGCATTACATGTTCTAAATTAGTTAATATCTAAATGCACAAGATTTTCATGGGTCACCCCAAAGATATATGCATAAACAAGTGGTCAAGGAAATCAACCTACAACTTCATAATAATCTCTTCAAAATTGAGATTCTACAGGGGGAAAATGGTTGCTTTGATATTTAACATCTTGAAGATCTATTTTTTATTTCATATTCCCATCACATGCAGCAGTAGCACATTTCTTTTTGGTCACAGAGTAAGACATCCAGTTCATACCAGCCATTCTTGATTTTGCTTCTTTTCCAGTTCTTGCCAAGTTGATTTTGATTGTCTAGTGCCTACAGAAATAAAGTAAATCTTGTTATATTTAATCTTCTTCAGCACCATTTATATGGCTTATTAAATTATTTTTGCTATGATTGTGCTACAAATTGCCCACCGTTTCTTCAGGTTATGAGTTTTAATGATTTGCTTCTTGCTTGGAACAAGAATGGACTAAGAGTAGGGCAACTTGTAAACGCGACTGCTTATTTATTTAGCTTAAAATCCAACAAGACACAGCTTTTGGCTTTTCATTGGATTGACTAAACTATTTGAAATATCTCGCACTACATACTATCTGAGTTCAAATTTTCTGTCTTCCCGTGACCTTAGGTTCAAAGCTCAACTGGAAATCTATAATGGCTGGTAATTACTAATTACAGAGCCTGCATATTTGAGAATCATGTTGAACCAGATCCTGTTTCAGTTGGGCTGAAATGTTTATGTTGGCACTCTTTTCTTTCACTTTGGTGCCTCAGATGGCCAAAACCTGATGTACTGATCTTGGGAGCTTGCACACTTTCAATGTGCCTTTTTAGTCATGAGGTGCAGTAGTACGAACTGACATGCTATAATACTATGCATTTGCTTATTTTTTCCAGGCTTCTTGTCTTTGAAACTAACTGACACTAAATTGCACAAGTTGCAGGCCTGGATTTTGATTGCTCAATGACTGCAACTGGCCTGTACGAGCTGCTGGCCAAAAATTTCTTGCCCCAACTTATCTGAAGTCTTTTATGAAACCATCATTACCATGACCTTCTGATGATCATTATTGGCATCTTATTGGGTCGTACTAGAGTTACACGTTAACAATCAGAGGTTTTGCCAACTTTCAAGAATAACACTCAGGTTAGCACATTTATTTTAACCAAATAAATATTTGTACATAGTATCAAGTCTTATTGCCTGCTCATTATTTTTAGGGAGAAAACTGACAAAAAGAAACTCTTACTTTCCATAAGGTTTCCAACTCGAAAACGTAATGGAACTTTTTGTTCTATCTTATTTATAATGCAGGCAGCATGCTTTCTTCAGATTTTTAAATCTGAGTTCATCCAACTCAGGTACACATGCCACCATTTAGTGTGAAAAGTTTATTTACTTATTGTTTTGCATTCATGGAATAAAGTGTCAAATGAAAGTACGTCCCAGCACAGAAATTTGTGGATTTTCTAACACAGAAAGATTTCAAACTATTTAACTTATAGGATTTTTTCTCCTTTTTTTTTTCTGTAGGAGAACATACTCCAGTGAAACTCTTAAGAAGATTTTTATTTATTGCCTGAGGTGAGGTGATATATGTATTGTGACTAAAATGATTAGTAACAAGAGTTTGAAAGTTTTCGAGGGTCTGCTTCCAGGAATGTTGTTTGGCCATGTAATAGCAAGGATTTGAGAGGATTCTGCTGTGCACGTTCAAATTGATAATAGATTGGAATTAGAGATCTCAATTGTTGATTGTACTATCTTGTAAGCTATTTTAATCATGGAAGTAAATTGCCAGTCTTGGAAATGATGTAACTGCTCAACTTCACTTTGTTGAAGGCAGAGGTCTGCTTTGATGAACTTCTCTTGTCTTAGGCGGTCTGAAAAGGTTCAACTGCAGTCATCAAAGTAAACACTATCACTTACTATAGCATCTCGACACACAAACTGCACACTCACACACACAGAATACGCATCACGGCTCACACATAGCACTCCTTGAGAGACTGACCTCATCATCCAATCTATCCTTTTTGGTATAATTGTGGTTTAGGTGCCTTGTCCAAATGTAAAGGATCCATTTGATGAGCATTTTGTATTTTGCTTCTGGCAAATAGTCCCACTTCACTTCTATCCTTTCCTTCCTCAATCATAGAATGCAGATATTTACAAACAAATTATTTGTTGCGGACAGTCAAACATAATATGATAGTTAAAGACCATTTGCCCTCAGATTTATGCCTGCGCTATCTTTCAATAAAGAGTAGCAGTTTATATTTGCTCATCACATATGTCTGCTACTGCAAGCTGTACATTGATTCCTAAACCTGAGATTCTATGAGGAAAAAATGGTTACTCTGAACTTTCACCTCTAGAAAATGTTATTATCTTATTCTTATCATCATGCCAAATGGACTGGTAATCTACAATACCAATTTTTTTTTTTTAAGAAATGCTCCTAATCCATGATAAACTTTCTTCTTCAACTATGTAATATTGAGTTTTAAGCAGTTTGATTCTCAATTTGTTAACTAACCCCTCGCCCCCTCCCCCCTTTCAAAAAAAAAAGGACATGTTCAAGTCATTTTTTGAGGTTGCAAGGGAAAATAGTATTGTTCTAGCAATGAAGCTGCAAAGACTTGGCAGATTATCCTTTACTGAAGTTTAAGTCTAACTGTGATGATTTGAACTTTGAAGCATCAAATGGTAATAATTGGTTGCTGTTCTAGGAATTCACTTCATGAAGATTCTTTAGCTTTCTCTGCCTGTCATACTTGTTGGCTGCCGCATCTCTTTTTCTAAATTACTCAACTGGTCATCTTTCAGAGTTTCGGTGATGTGTGCATGAACCAGGGCCCAGTCCAAGTCCCATTAGGCCCAGTCACACGTGCACGGGCCAAGCTATTCAAGGAATCCCTCCAAGCCCTTGTTCAAGTTGTCCACGATCAACATGGAGGCTATAGAGATATTGAAGGCTTGGAAAGGATCAATCAAGCAACTTGCACTTTGGTCCAAGCCCAGGAAGACTCCAGTGGGCCTCCTTACGAATCGGCCGAGTAGGGCCTTAGTCGTTGTTTCCATTTTGTTTGGACTAATTGTCCGTAGAAGGCTTGAGGCCGGCCCACCTTGATGACAAGGTAGCCGACCTCCCCTTTAGGTTTCTTTAGGGTTTTTAGTTGTTTCATTAAGCCTATAAATAGGCTAGCCTTGTAAGGTTAAAAACTAGTTTTTGATGAATTAAAATTATTAGTGCATTCGTTTTCTTTCATAAAGAATTCGTGCCTTTCAACTTGCTTGGCAAGGGTTATTGAGCAATCTCGCGTCCTGTCCTTGATTGTTCGTCCGACCTATTCCCCTGGAGTATTCACCTTCATTGGAGTGTCGTCTACCACCTCCAATCAAATCGAGTTGTCCGTTTGAGTAAGGGTTCCGCAATCCAAGCGTTGGACATCCCCGCTAGATCCTTGGGCAAACGTGCTACGTGTCTCGACCGTGGATCGAAGAACGTATCAGTTGGCTTCAGAGCTTTGGTGGAGGTATCTTCCGTTATATCCATAGTTGTGTCTTAGTTTCATTATTTCCGCTGCCTTGTGTTTTGAAAAAAAAAAAAAAAAAACTGTTCGTTTGCTTTGTTGCTTCGTTGTGCCGTTTTCCTTCGTTTGTTATCTAGAAATTCTGGTCGTTGTTTTATTGATTGAGTTCGTATCCATACCCGTTCGTTTGTGTCTTCAAGTCTGTCCGTTGCTGCTTTGCTAGTCAAAAAAAAAACAAACAAAATCTGTTTGCATCGCTTGTCAAAAAAAAAAACATTCTGTCCGTGTCTTGTCTTGTGCCTTGCCGTGAGTCTTTCCTTTCTGTCCATTGGTGTCCGCATTCATCAAAAAAAAAAAAAAGGAGACAACCAACAAAATAGAAATTTCTGTCCGTTGTGAGTCAAAAAAAAAATCTGTTCGCTAATTCTTGTTCTTGGTCGCGTAAATTTCTGGACAGTTGTGTGTTTTTGTTGCTAGTCCAATCTGCCCAGATTTTATCCTCGTATTACAACCATTCTGCCCAGCAATTGGTCCTAGCCGAAACTGAAAAAAAAAAACACAAAAAAAAAGAAGAAAGAAAAAAACCGCGGCTAGGGTTTTGGTGCGGCTAGAGTTTTTGTGATTGCCAAATCTGTCCAAGTGTTAGTCGCTTATCTAAGTTGTTTAGTTAGTTTCCTAAACTGATTTGTGGACCAAACTTGTTGGAGTTGTGAATCTTGAAGGAAATCTACGTGAGTTTTAGGATTCTTGACTTTCTTGAACTTAATCTTGAAGTTCTTGGAAGTTCTTGATAAAAAACTTGGAGTTTTGGGGCTGTTGGTTGTAGTAAATTAGGACTTGATCAGAATCTGGTTTGAAACCCTTTCGGCCAGGTGTAGTCTATTACCAAGTATAAAAAAAAAAAAAAAGAACCGAAAAAGAAACAAGAAGAGCCATCGGGTAGCAAGAAAACCAAGAAGGAAAATCGCACTTTTTATTGCCAAATCTGTCTTATTGCATCTTGTACCCAAACCAGAAAATTACAGCAAGTAGAAGAAAAAAAAAATTCAAAAGTTTTGACCAACCTCTTCTTGAAATTCTTGAACACCTTGAACTTTGATTACTTGCACTACCTTTTGGGATTCTTGAGGTTCTTGACCATCAAGAGTTTTGAAGACTTGCACTTCTCTTCGAATAAAGAGTTTCTTGTAAGTTCTTGCATCCATACGGGGTTTCCTTGGTTTAGGAATAAAATCCTTGGGAGTTTCTTGAGCAACCCGTGGGAAAGAACCTTGAGAGACTTGGTTCACGCTGTCTTGAGACGCCATTGACTTGGCACAACAACCGAAACTGTCTTACTCTTGGCACGAAGGAAGGAGCCGAACTGGTTGTGACTTGAGAGTAGAGAGAGAGCCGAACTTCTTGGGTGAAGTGTGCGGCTGTGAGGGGAGGTTAATAGGGAACAATAACCGACCTTGGGAGGGGTTCAAGAAGGAAGAAATCTGGAAATTTCGGTGGCCCAATTCTGGTTTTTGTTGTGAGCATAGTGGGCGGCTGCTTGAGAGGGTTTATAAGGGTCTTCTAGCCGACTTTGGGAAGGGAATAAAGGGAAGATTTCTGGAAAATTACGGTCAAGAGGAGAGAGAGGGAACCGAATCTGTTTTGAGAAGAATTAGGAAGTTGCTTAAGCAAGGTTTTCAAAGGAAGTTTTCAACTCCAACTTGTTTGCCAACTTAGTTTAGGAGACTAAGTACAACACTTGGATAAAACTTGGACACCTTCCTACTTTTTCTCCTCCATTTTTGGGATATTCTCCTACATTTCCTCATTCACTTTAGGAAACTACTCCTACATCTTAGGCATTCTTAGAGTTTCCTTTATTGGTAATATTTTCCAAATCTGTCCACCACCTTTAAGCTTTCCAAAACCGTCCTTCCCTTCATCAAAACAAATCTCTTGCTTACTCTTGTGGGGGACAAGTTGGTGACGCTAATCGGGCTCGAGCAACATTACTCAACTACCTAAACCAACAGGTAAAGGTACCTGGTAAGTTTTATAGAGTGACTTGAGCACTACACACGAGCGCGAGAGATACACTTAGGGAGTGAAGTGAGGATTATATTTGCACTTTCTTTGCTTGTTACTAACCTTTGCAGGGGGGGGCATCACGAGACACATGGAGCAAGATCAACAACCACCTTCCAAAGACCTTTCTCTGATGTTCACCGCCATGAGACATGAGCTCAAACGCATTAGTGAGCAACAAATGGAAGAGTTGCACAACCGGTTTGACGAGCTCACCAAGAGTCTCACCCCAGGCTCCCGTTCTGGATCACGCAATCGGAGTGGTCGTGACCGCAAAGGAGCACCCAGTGAGGACTACTCCGCCAGTGACGACGACGAGCGACCCGAGAGGCCGCGACGGGACACGCCTACGAACGAACTCAAGGGGCTTAAAATTCAAGTCCCCGCATTCAAAGGCAAAAGTGACCCTGAGGCTTACTTGGAGTGGGAGGGCCGTATCGAGATGGTCTTCGACTGCTACGATTACACCGAGGAACAAAAGGTTAAAGTTGCCACCGTGGAGTTCACCGACTACGCACTAGTCTGGTGGGACCAAGTACGGACCCATAGGAGAAGGATGGGCGAACCACGTGTCCGGACTTGGCGCGAACTCAAGGCACTAATGCGCAAACGATTCGTTCCTAGCTACTACAATCGCGATCTCCATTCTAAACTTCAAACCCTCGCTCAAGGCAACATGAGTGTGGAAGACTACTACAAAGAGATCGAGATGGCCATGATGAGGGCCAACATTCAAGAGGACAATGAAGCCACAATGGCTA